AATCTCAGTCAGTTAAGAATTTAAAAGCGAAATAATCATCAGGATCTGCTGATTGTGTCCAACAAAATCATAAAACTGATCTCGCACTCTCCACTATTCCTTTATTCTTGTTGCTTTTAATAAAGTCTTGTCTAAGAACACGAAACCATCTCACTGGACAACAGCAAAAATCCTATTGCTGCCGCAGGAGAAAACAACTATGATCACCATTGACAATAGCAGACTAATCTCATTCTTATCCTGTTTAGGCAAAACATTCGAAAAATGCATGCTCATTCACATCAGAAAATGGATGACCTCTGCTTCAAATAAATACGTACAACGTGTATACAAATCTCTTAATAAGTTTTGGCATGAGGTCTTACCTCTTCATAATAATTTCTAATATAACCAAGTGCCAGAGAGAGAAAGGCACTTAGAAGGTAATTAATTTGATCATAGGCGACGGAGCGTCTTGAAACTACGCGAGGCTCATAGCATTTTCTTCTCCTTTCCCATCGAACTTTTATCGAAGTGTCAAGCACAATAAGGTGTGCATAATGCAAACTTGCAACTAATGTTTTTTTCAATTTATTATGCATCGCTGGATAGAGTTCATCGAGTTGATTAAGAAAATGTATTTTTTAATTTTTCAAAAAGCTTTTTCCATATCGAAACATCGAAAATACTTCAAGGATGTAAAAACTCAAAAAATCCTTCAAGTTTAAAAAACCTTTAATATCTCGTCTCTAGATTCCAGTGTGTTTCAATGTGCATTTCGAGATTTTTAGTGGATTTCTAGTTTTGGGTGAAAATTTCGGTAAGTTTTTGACGTGAAAGTTCAAAAAAAATTGAAGTACTGAAATAGGATAGAAATGCACATTAGTCGACTTAGTTTTTGATCCTGATTCCAAATATGATATTTCTGTCGCATAAAACTTGAACTCTGATGGAGAAAATTGAGAATTACTACGGAATTACTACTTTTTCATCTCTGACTTAGAAAAAATGACTTTTGTCAGAAACAGAACAAAATTTTAAAAAATGCGAGTCTTAGTTTTAAAGCTGGACTTTCAGTGAATCTAATAACGTGCAAATGATTACTTCAGTCCTTAACACAAAAAACTAGATAGGTTTACAAAATTGCTTGTCCCTGTTTTAGAAGGCTGATTTGGGACATCCGTGCTCTTTTAACTTCGAAATTGATCAAAGACTATTTTTACATGCAGTTTTTAATGCTGAATTCAAAAAACATTCTTTAAAAAGTTCAAAACAGTAAGAAACCGAGATATTAAAGGTTTTTTGAACTTGAAGGATATTTTGAATTCTTTCGTCCTTTAAGTTGCGCGTAACGCAGACTTGCAATGAAATGTGTTTCCAACTTAATCTCTGTGTAAAACGTCTTGGCACAAGTCTTGATGTTTTTTGTACCAAAATTCATACCAGAACTACAGTTCAAAAACAGTGTGCCAGAATCAGAATTTTATTCTCTTTCAGAATACGTGTTGAAAATTTTTTTATTACTTTTCTGTTATTGACAAATGGTACAATACGAACAGACTCAAAAACTTTATATGAGCGGAAAAAATGTATTTTTGCGATGTCAGTCTTTCATTGTGATGATAGAAAAATTTAAACTAATCACGGTTATGGAGCAAATATACTACAAAATGATGTATTGAAAAATTTTTAAAAACGTGGAAATGAGTAATGAGAAGCATTTTTGTAAAGATTACTTTCAATGTTTTACACGTAAAAACGTGATATGAGCGAAATTTCGATTTTCAAAAAGCACTATTGTTTTATACTCGAATAAATTCAATGGTTTTCCGGTTGAACTTTTTTTTGTATCTGTGGGTTTTGTATAGAAATGTTTGTTCTACAATCGGGATTGAAACAAAGTTATTTTTCAAGTAATAAAAAATTTTCAAACACGTATTCTGAAAAGAGAATAAAATTCTGATTCAGGCACACTGCTTTTGAGCTTTAGTCCTGGTATCAATTTTGATATAAAAAACATCAAGACTTTTTACATAGAGGTTAAGTTGGAAAAACATTTCATTGCAAGTTTGCGTTACGCGCACCTTACCAATATTATTTGTTGTAATATAATTCAATAAAGATGATAACAATCGTGTATATACAAGAATCATTTTGTTTTTGTTTCAAAAAACCTAAGCTTTCAATTACTATCTGTAATCAACATCAGACATAGTTTACAATAAGCGAAAAATAAGAGTGAGAAAAAACAAGTGAATATACAGTGGTCAACAAAAGTGATCTTACATCTCTCATATTATCTTATGATTGATATTTCTTCGAAACTAAATCACCTGTAAAGTTCGGAGTTTCACTAAAATGTTGCAAATTTATTGTAGTTTATTTGTTTAAAATAGAAAGTGCTTATGTCATATAATCATTGTGTTAGGCCAGGAAGAGTAGGATGGACGACTTTCTGTGTTCAACAAAATTGATCATACAGTTCGATTTTTTACATAGTAGACTTTAATTTTAATTTGACAAAACGAGCGTATTTTGTGCAGTTTTTCTCGCTCTTTTGACTCATATGTACTGCAGAATTTTAGATCAAAGGACGGAGGAAACGGAAACGAAATACAAAGATTAAATGTACGTTTGATCACCAAATCTTTTAAAGACGTGTAACATTTCATCATCTCGTCTTCGTTCATATTATTAGTTAAAAAAAATAGTTCTACAAGCAAAACAATTTATGTGTTGATTTCATGTGATAAAAAAATGTCGTGAACATCGAAATCTAGTGACTAAACAACATGGAGATGAAATCGATAAAGAGGTCCTTGCTGTACAATTGAGTTTTAGCAACGAAGTATTTAATCATGGAATGAATCTTCTAATGACTATACAGCGTAACTAAATTCATAACTCAGTCAGAATTGATCCAGACTATGTCAGAATATCAAGATATACTCTATTTTATCTGCTCAAAGAGATTGTGTAGGTGAGAATAGTATAAAATATTCTCTTCCGTCGGAAGTTTTCTAGAAAAAGATTTTGAAAAATTCAAGTATTTTATGTTGGTTGTAAAAAGTTCTATTGGACTGCGTGATATGTTGCAGATAAAATAGAGTATATCTTGATATTCTGACATAGTTTAGATCAATTCTGGCTGAGTTATGAATTTTCTAATTTTACATGAAAATAGGGAGAAATGGGTTATTTCACCTAGTATAAAGTTTCACTAGGTTTTTCGAAAAAAAACATCGCCACGAGAATCAGCATAATCGAAAACCTATGTTTGCATACATTGCTGAGGCTTCCAGTCCTAAGAATGACTGTTCCCAGCTACCAAACGATAAAAGATAGAGGTCTCGGACTAGTGTAACGTTATAGAACAGATGTTGCTCTATCTCGATGTAAATTTAGAACGAAAATTTTGTCTGGAGCTTTTTCCACAGCACTGCCGGACATTTTGTCCAACAAGGTACACCACCTACAGGTGGTAGCTTTTAGATCTTAGTTAGATCGTTCGATAGCCCATGAGTTTACTTCAAAATGAGGATAACCAGACCTCTCTAGCTCATTCCGATCAAATGTTATTCAAAAAACATCCGAGTGCACTACTTTCTGACTCCGGTACTAGGTAATTTCAAAAGCATATGAACAATAGACAGCGAAGAAGAAAAGAAAGAAAGACAAACCAAGGTTAAGAAAAAAGATGTGTTTTTTTTTTTTTAGTGATTTTTGCATGAAGAACGAAGATGAGAGAAACAGACAATTAAAACAAACATCGATTAGCGCGATATATTTGTATATTCTTCTGTCATTAGTCACCTGAATTGGTCAGTGGTCAATCTCTTTTTTCGACAACAGAATTCACTAGATAATAGTGACATATACTGTTACAAGTTTAACTGAAAATATGGAGAAAAATTATATAATTTCTCGGGCGCTGGTCCGAAAAACAACGTTAGCCCGTCCGATCTCAAAAATTTTCTGGGATGGTCCACCAAAGAAAAAAATTGGCTGGGCCGGGCCGGGATCGGTCCCGTGCCGGGCAGATCAATAGGAGCTTTGGTGTGTATACGCAAAGTATTAATATAGCTACTCTTTAACGTAAACTATAAGGTAAAAAAACAGGCCTATAATGATTTTTTCGCAGACCTAATTTAAAAAGAATCAATAATATAAACAAAAACAAAAAACATAATCGCAAGAAGTAACAGTAAACAGTTTTCGATTTTATATTATCAAATTATTATCCAGCAAAACAGAATGAGAAGAGAGAAATTTTACTCAACTAGTAAATATTGGAATCATATTCTTTTCGTAACGATGAACAAATTCAATATAATTTATTTACGTCACTAAATCAAGTATACTTCAACAATATCCTATTTTGTTTCGTATATCATGCTGTTTTTAAAACAAAAAATGTGGTTTTCAAGACAACACGATCTTTATTAAAACAAAAAAATTGCAATCGTCCTCCTTTTCTCTTTTCAGGTAAATATATAAAAGTATGTTACAATGAATATTTTATCTACTTTTTTATTCTTTTATTACTCTTAAACGTAACGTTCCGCATTTCGTGATCTTATCGACAAGAAAAACGATTAAAGAAAAATTCTATATATATAATAAATCAGGTACTCAATAATAAGTAAAATTTGTTATTTGTTAAATCTATAGAAACAAAAGACTATGATCTTGTTGCTATGTAGAAAAAATTTTCGATACTATAGTTGGTACTTTTATGGTTGGTTAGATGAAACGAAGATTCCATTTAATGCGACCTTTTATATGAATTTTACACTTAGTAATATTGCTGTAATAAGATGTAGTCTATTGAAAATTAGAAGAAATCTAAATTTTTTATCATTCGAAAATTTCTCTTTTTAAAAATCAATGGACACAATGAAATGAATTTTACTTTTGAAATATAACTGAAAAGAATGATTTTTATTTTTTATGCCGGTGAAATAGAAATAAAATATGCTCAATGAAAACGTTCTTCTAATCACATTATTTTATTTAGAATAATGGATGCATTGATCCAATGTCACGCTTGTCATCAAAGTGCAACTGATCCATGTGAATTAACATGTAAACATACGTATTGTTCAAAATGTTTAAATGAAAAATTAGTTGGAAATAAATTAACATGTCTTGTATGTAACACCGAATATATAACACCCAATTCTTCCATAAAAGAAATTTCTACGCCAGACAAATTAACACCCTATCTATTGGGTGTACAAAGGTATGTTGATATATACTACAAAATATACAATTTTCTTATTTTTTATACAATATAGTTATGAACCATATGCCAATATTGCTGGAGCTACACCATCAATTCAGGCTCAATGCTTTGAATGTAAATTGCAAGGTGATCTTCGAACATGTTTTCATTGTAATAAAGCATTGTGTAGCGCTTGTCGAACGAAACATTATCAAATACAAAAGAAAGAAGTTGAGGAATCATATCGAGACTTAGACACCAAAATTTCTCGTGCAGTAGAATTGGCAAGTAAGTTTTTAGGTCTAATTAGATTACTCTTACAATAAAGAGTGCAAATAGAATTATCTAAATAAATTTTTTTGTTATTTAGTTACGCTAAATAATAGTCGAGAAACGCGTCTTAAAACATATGCAATCATGAAAGAAAAAATTCAACATAATGTTCAAGTATTGAAAAAATATATTGATGACGAAGCAGAAAGATTACAAAAACAAGTCGATAATCGTGTAGCATTAGAAGAAGAGTAAGTAAATATTACAATGTACAGAAATTTTATATTGTCATAATCATTTCTTTCTAGGAAAATCAGAGTTGCAAAACAAGAAGAGGTACACTTAAAAAATCATAAATCCGCTCTGGACACCGTTATTGACAAATCTAAACAGTAAGTAACAGATAATTATAATATTTACGTTTTATCAAATAACATTTGTTGATTATTTTAGTGAATCAGACCATATGACCGCGAGTAAAATGTTCATTGATTATGTACAAGTTGCTCCAAATTGGAAAAGTAAAATTGAAAGTCAAGCAGGACGACTTAATCCAGAAAAAGAACTAGTAAGAATTATAATTTTTTCGAAGTATTTATAGCTAATTTTATACGCTTATAGGAATTGCATTATCATTTTGAAATGCCCAAAAAAGATGATGCCATTCTTGGAACAATAAAAGATACAAAAAGTACCGATATTCAAGCATCATCTGAAGCCAAAAAAATGGCCAAACAAGCTGATAATAAAAGTAGTACTTGCATTATAGTATAAGAACATGTACAACATAACAACATACATATTGCTGCTTGATATAGCTCTATTTTTTTTTCTGTTTATCAATCTGATTTTTTTCTAATATTTATTTTCAATGGAAGTATTGTCTCTATACTCTGCTTCTACTCTCTACAGATAATACATACATACAAGCTCGCGTGCAGTCTTATCTACTGTAATTAAAGATAATCAGAGTATTTCTGTAGTTTAAAAGCCAATTAAATTATCTAAATTGTTCAGTAAATATCTAATCCAAAAAAGGAACTTTATTTCGCTTCGGTGGAGGAAACATTGAGACTGAGTGTATCATGTAAAATCATGCACTATATCATTTTAAATCAATATGATTTCTTATTAGAATCTCAACATACATTTTCAAAACGATGTACATATAAAGGTAGAATTTAACTTAAATTTTATTTTATTTTTCTGATTGCTGCAAATGATCAAATTTCTCATTCACGTGAACAATATCGACATACATGGAAAAACAAATATGATGATATAAAATATGTGTACTTTATACAAGGATTGTATGCATCTGTTTTCAGTACTCTTTCATCGTTGAAAACAAGCGCTTTTCCTGATTAATTATGTGCTGATTTAAGTTATTTTTCAGACTTTCTGTTTGAACATTGACATAAAACACCATCTATAATTATGATGCCGGTATATATCATAAAATTTTTTATATGCTCTTCAGCATGAAGCTAGTATAACATTGTCATATACTAAATAGACTATGTAACAATTTATTGATCACAGTTTATATGCCACACTTAAACGAGAACTATTGACATCATTTGATTCAAAAAAATCTCAGCTGCAATAAATTATAGAATATTAATAGTAATAGTTGATTCATATTTCAAAAGCTGTCTAATTACTTTTTACACGCAAAGACTAGATTAATTCTAATAAACCAGCTTTGCTATCTATACGTCTATAACGGTAAAACTGAAAGATCTATGAACTCTATCAGATATCTCTAGCACTATTCAATTTATGGTAGAACAACTACTCATAATCGCTGTTCGCTCCGACTGTTGAATAAGATTTTTATTTATTTATTTTCCTTCATCATATTTCTAAAATAAAATTTATGAGTAAGTTTCTACTAACAATGAAGTTTCCAAACACACTCTATGGCAATAAGTTGACGATTTCAAACACGACAGGTGTAGCTACATGTGTTGGATGCTAAAGTTACAGCCATTCTTATCCTGGCTACATACTATATTACATGTCGAGAACTCATCACTTTTGCTTTTACGATTGTGTGTGAGATGACTTATTAAAAAGAGAAAAAGTTGTTTTACAATGTCGCACCTGCTTCAACGCCAGATGTTACGTAGCTCTTAAGATGTGAGTATCTCATAAAATACATTTTTTTAACATTCCTTAATTAGAACGTCTAGGATAAGAAATTGAAACGGTTATAACTTCTGGTGTTGAACGAATGAAGCTACGATTTTTAAATTTGACATCAGCGTCGTCGACATGACATTTTAAAGAATATTTCATCGCGTTATCAAAGAGTATACGTGAGGACTTTGCATTGTACGTGCTTCAGCTTCCTAACTCTGATAATCAAAAGGTTGAATCGTATGGATCTGAAAGTTGTGATTGGAATTTATCAAATTCAACAAAGATCATAAAAAATACAAATTATTTATAGAACCAGAAAATCACGTTCAAAAATTTCATAGTCTAGTAAATAGCTAAGTAATGCTTTCAAAGCACCAAACATTTTTTGGACTCCTCCTTCACCAACAATATACATTGATGGCTATCTTCAATCTTTATTGGACTAGATTATACTATAAATTATTTTAGAATTTCCTTTCAGGCAAAATGATTTAATTATTTGTGATTAATAATATCATACAACTCTTTCTGTACACATATTTTTAAAATTATCAAAATAATACAAGTGCTGTTCAACATAAATTCCTCTTTCATCAGAATGACACATAGTTTTTTCGTATTGTCAAAATTAAAAGTTAAAATGCATTTTTTACGTAAAAGAGCGTTAAAATTGCTTGGGGAATAACAGTTGCACAGTCAAAAGAAGAAGCCAGAATCGAAATCTCGAGCTAAAAAATAACAATAATTTTAACCAAATGTAATATGTCAGTTTTTCCTCTGTATATAGCAAATGTATTCTACATATATGCAAATGATGGCACAATGTACACTCAGACTCAGAGCTTTCTTCATCATATTATATCATTCTCTCCCTCTCTGCGCTTCTCTAGTACTTGTTATATTTCAAATGTGTGCAAACAACACATTTCTGACGACAATAATGGAATAGAGTTTGAATACATCCATAAATGAGAGAATGTGTATCTCTGCTTGCTCTTTTACTTTAAAACAAATGCATAGTCTGTAGATGAAGGGAAGGAAAATGTGTGTGTGTGCGTAAGTAAATGTGAAACTCTATAACAGGCAAAAAACGAAGGGAAGGGGAACATAGACATTTTCTAGATATATTCCTCTTCTAATACGTTTTCGTATGAATGTAAAATGTATGAACGTAGAATATATACACACACATCCGTTAGAATATAAAGAGAAAGGCAAAAGGCATTGGTGTGTTTGAAAACAGAGAAAGAGAACATTTCTGAATGACGCTGCATCGCTGCTTGAAAGAACTGTAGTAGTTTGACTATATAGTGTAGTGACTGAAGGAATGAAATCGCTATAACCATCAATGCATGTATGTACGTCTATAGACAGAAATACAAAGAGAAACGTACATGTAAGATTCTGTGTGTGTGTACGCTGTGCTGTTGGACGTTGTTCTCTCTGTGTATATGAATGCAGGTAGAGAAAAGAAGGAAAAAGCATACGAAACAATCTTTATCCTATATAGGCAACAAGTAATGTATTTCTGTTCCTTTCCAACGGTCGTCATCAATCACAAATGCATAGTCTATAGATGAAGAGAAGGAAAATATGTGTGTATGTAAATGTACAACACCACTTTGAAACATGCACACACAGAAAGAAACGAAGGAACAAGGCGATAGAAGAAGAGAAATCGTATTAGAGTAGTAAGAGAAAGAGAGAGAAGAGAGAAAGCGTTCATAAAAAACAACGTTAAGAAATTTTGCTTCAGTCTACAAACTTTCTCTTCATCGCAAACGTTACTGCTTACTTCTACAAACGAAGAACAACCAGAAAACAAGTTTCATCCAACGTCGATATTAGCGACTACACCATATTTTCAATCATCTAACGACATCTTTCTTACGCTGTGGTATGTACATATAAGTTTTGTTTTGCTTGAAGTAAGATTGACAGTGAGGTTTTGTTTGTGCAAAATAATAGAGAAATAAAAAATATTTTTTCACGTTCCTTTTCTTTTCTGTTCCATCGTAGGATGATTGTGCTTATGCAGTGCGTAGTATATAAAAAGATATTTTTTGTCAATTATTGAACAGTCTCTCCATCAGGTAGAATGAGAAGGGTGAGCGAAAAACCTCACTTATGGCCGTTTTCCAGAGTCAAAATCAGCAGAGCAAGGTAGTGTATACCACAAGCACTATTTTCCTTTTGCGGAATACGAGTTTCTCTGCAGTTGAACAGGATATACGATAAAGTTTGCTACATAAAGTGAAATTATGACTCGTGAAGACGCTATTTATATGAAATTCTGTCCATGCACTTTTGATCAGAAACTAATTCTACAAAAGTTTTACACTTCTCATAATTTATAGGTTCTGATCTCAGAACATAGTTAATTTATCACCAAGATTTGAAAAATTTTGTCTTCTATCTTAGACTTTATTTCATAAAGTCGAAACAGCAGAATCGTCGAGTAATTCATTTTTAGTACTTCACTTTGCTTGAATTCTTCTGCCCCTGCAGCATGAAATTTTGAAAGTTTCTTATTAAAATACCTGTTTAATCATTTTCCGGTGTTGTTTTAGCTTCAATAACTTCGATAATGCCACGCGCGTCAAAAAACAAAGATCCAAATGCACCAAAACGTCCACTGTCCGCGTTCTTCTTATTTTCACAAGATGAACGTCCTGGTATTAAACAAAAAAATTCAGCATTATCGGTTGCTGATGTTGCTAAACAAATTGGTGAAAGATGGCGTGGGGCTGGCGATGACGTAAAGAAAAAGTATGAAAAATTAGCCAAAGAAGCAAAAGAAAAATATGAAAAAGAATTTGCTGCGTATAAAAATTCTGCTGATTATAAAGCACCACAAAAAGGACATAGAGCATGAATATCATAATCTTGTACATTTGATGAACATATATAGAGTACTCATTTTTTTCATCAGATCAATAATTGTTTGTTGTAATTAAAAATCAATCGATGTTTGTTTTTTTGCTTTATATATTTTTTTCGTTGTCAGAATAAGTAGATGTTGTGTGTGTTCATGTTTATACTCCCTTACTCTCTGTTAGTGTATATCGATATCAGATAAAAGAACTGGGTTTTGTTTATATATTAATGCTAGTTTTCCGCGTTGTCATTTTCTCTAATGAATTGTTAATCTAACAAGTTTGATGATTTGTTTCTTTTTGCTCTACATAAATAGAAAGAGACAAATTAGTTATCTTACTGTCCATTTTTTGTTTTTATTTAAGTATAAGTATTTCCCGTAAATATGTATTTCGTTTTTGAAGATACTCCGTAGTTATTTACTTGTAACACTGATTTTAAAAAATTCAATAACTAAAATAAATGTTTCGAAAAAGGAAATGACAAAATTCTCTACAAAATCCTACTTAAACTTCAATCAAGAAAACTAAGCAAATTATACGACAGGCCCAAAAAAATAAAAACTTTGTAAATTTGATATTTTTTTCGATTTGAACTTTTTTTCTACTATTATTCCCGTAAAAAAGTGTAGAAGGAAGAATTCAGTTTGTGTTTGTTGCTTTCAAATATGCTCTTTCTCATGGTCTGTAAAAAATGTTTTTAGAGCAGATGGTGTGCTCGAGAACGAAGTTTTAAAAATACGTCAAAAATTAACAACCTATACACCGTTTCCGACAATGTGTTCAAGCAAGAAACGGAAATCGTGATTGAAGTTTTGATTTTACAGTTAGGTAGAGAAGAATTACAATCATTTCTAATCAAAAGGAAAGAAATCCGATCGAAAAATCTTTCGTTTTGATGTGGTTGTGGAACTTTTACGAAAAGCGCCACCATTAAATTTAAGAAGAATTTAAGAAATTAATAAAAAAATGCGTGACAATCGACAGAAAAATTATTATTTCGCTATCGGTTTTGATGTGAAATAAATCTGAAGTGTAGCTAAAAGATAGACTGAATTCAGAACTACAAAATGGCTAATTCAGTTTTTCTTACTTTCAAAACGTTAACAGAAGAAATTGTTTCTTAGTTTTTTGGCCTTTCGTATAATTTGCTTAGTTTTCTTGATTGAAGTTCTGAAATTAAAGTTTAGGTATGATTTTCTAGAGAATTTTACAGCGGTTCTATTAAAAAAATAGTCTCTGGAGACCCTGAAACAGGAGTTACGGGGAAAATACTGAGACTGACATTAATTATGGTACACCCGTTATTAAAAACTTGACAAAATTCTGCAGCGTTTAAGTCTAGAACAAAGTTTTAAAACTTACTCAATCAGGTTGAAAAAAATCAAGTTTTTCAATCCAAGTTTGGCTCCAAAGGACTATAATTGTATTTTTATTTGTTACTTTCAACTCTTCCAGTTGTCAAAAATCTTCCATTTTGTCTTGACGATGGGCTTTTGTTAAGATAAGGACTTGATGAAAAAAGTGGTGATAACCGTGGTGTTGAAGTTCTATCCATTTGCGTTGAATATTGCCGTCGTGCGTTGAATAGAGAAGATTTTGAGTGTTCACCAATTGTGTAATCCATCGGTAGCATTGATATTCGATTTGATCGTCTACGTGGAGTTTCATATCCACTTCGACGTTGTGTTATAAAATCAAGAACATGTCGAAATGCAGATTGTCTTCTTGGACTATCTTCAATCGCCTGGCGAGCACTTCGTCGACGAAATCTAACATCAGCCGGAAGAGTATAACGTGGTAACGTATCACCAGATTCATAGATCAGTAATCCGCTATATAAGAGAATATCAATAGAAGAAGAAGATTTATTTGAAATGAACGTACGGTACACAATCATTAATAGTTTTATTGATATGATTAAGTACTGATCGTCGTTGTTCAGCTAAAAAATTTGTTCGACGCTGTAATAAATTTTCAAGACGCTCTTTTTTAGCACTTTTTTGATTATCAATGCATGCTAGTGTAAACATTCGAAATTCTCCATAATCTAACGCCTAAAAATTCCATGATGTTCATAGTTTTGTTTCCCAGTTCCTAGTTGTTCATAGTTTTCAACTCATTTTGTATGATTACACTCACCGCATCTCCACTAACATCAAAATCTTGAAAGATTAAATTGATGGCCTGATTATCTAAATTGAATAAGAATGCTAGACGTTGAAACTCTTCGGCAGATAGAGTATCACTTCCATCGTCATCCAAGAGTTCAAACACTGTTTTTGAATGAGCATGCATGAACTCTTTTTCTTTTTTATCCTAAACGAATAGAGTATACAACACTCTATCAACCATGTTTTGTTGACTTACTTTATTAGCAAGAAGCAGACTGATTAATAAAAAAAATTCTTCCAATTCAATCGCTCCCGACTGATCCAAATCTATGATTAATGAAACAAATATATTATACATAGAAAATCAAGATATAATTAGGCCTGTGACAGTTGACGTTTGTGGAGTTCTTTCATTATAAACGTATCCAAGAACGAATCTGTGGAAAATTCGAAAATTTAATAAGTTGCGAATGAAACAAGCTAGAATGTGAAACTTATGTGGATATCAGAGACAACGAGTAAAGCCATGAAAAAAAAAATCGAGCTCTTCACCGCTTTTTTTTACGAGAGTTATAAAATTATAAATTATAAATTTTTTCGTGCTTCCTTAGCAAAACAAACAACTTTCGTAACTTTGAAAGAAGCGACATGGATCCGAATTCCTTCAGGGTTTTTAGTAGCTGCTCATTCTCTATCGATCAGGATATGAATCATCCAAAAAGCAGTTGAACACCTGAGTACGGTCCCCCGTAAGTACGAGAGCATTAGCAGTTCCTCGTTCGAAAACAACTATAATTCCCTTGGAAGGATTCACTGAACTATCATCGAAAGGTGAGTGTATCGAAAATTTTTCTTAGTGTGAATCCTCATACCACTCTCACGATTATAAAACTAAAATTTTCGGCTACATTTGACATATTTATATACGTCTAAATACACTTATTCGATGCACTCATCTATCGTTGAAATATTTTTCAACGAAAAAACTTTTTATGGTAGTTTACACTACACGTTCCAAAGAAACTAGAATCGATGAGTCATTCCTCATTCCTACGAGTATAAATTTTTGGACTATTCCTACTTCAGGAACGAAAACTGTTTTTCACTTTCTGTTCAATAAACTTGAACTGAAAAGTAGTTCTCATTATCGTGGAACTGGAGTTCAACGAACGCTGGACTGTCACAGACCTCGAAAAACTTTGCTTGTCATAAAGTAAACCATCATCTATTGAAGCATTGTACCTAATTTATAAAACAACGTTGCCATTTCTAATTGCCTCATATTTGTTAGATACATCAGTAATGATCTTATTTGACATTCTTCTAAACTATCGGAATTGTCAACGTCAATCATCATATAGAGCAAACAACAAACTTTCATTGTTGTTGTTGTTATAGACCAATTAGGTGGTGCTAGATGAATATAGTCCAAAATACTTGAATTAAAATGTAAATGCATCTCTCTATTTTGTTGTACAATAATTATCTAGTGTTCTTCTTTATATAGGGGGGATTAAACGTGTTGTTGACTGAGATTTATTGGTTGCGTTTTTGATGAATTTGAACTTATTTTCTCTTTAACTTCTAATACCGTTTGTGATCATTGTTCATTCTAATCAATCTTGGATATAAAATTCAGGAAAATAGTAGCTATCATGATTATCAGACAAATAACTAACAAAAATATTTTGATCTTGGAAACTTCAGCTAGTTTTCCAATGGATAATAACAGTTCACATAGTTATCCAAGATCAATAGCGCTAACACTAGTCCTCTCAAAACTATTACTAATATTTTGACAGTATCTACGAGAGTCAGCTTGAATTAATAAATTTTGCTAAATTAGGAATGATAACTTGAACGTATTCTTGAATATAAACTTTCATCGATATTAAATCAACAAACGTACATATACAATATATGATGATGACCAACTATACGAGAATAATTCAGGCGCAAAAAAGCTTGGATCTTATTACGTTTCTTCTTTGCAGCGCTGAAGAATATTCATCAAGTTTTCATTATTACTCTTATTGTGATCGTTATGAATTGATCCAAGTTTCTTCGAAACTACATTCGATTTGACAGCGGCACTAGCGTGCACGAGTATGAAGTATCTACCAGCTTTATCGATTAGGGGGTGGCCTACCACCCCCTCGTCTGGATACAGTTACTCAAAAAACTTTGACTTACTCAAAGTTTCTTAAGAACTTTAAGTAGAGAAACTGCCTTTTATGCACCTGAGTAAGTGATTTTCTCCAGCTTCTGAGGAACTCATTTTTTTTCAGAGTAACTCAGTTACTCAGAAAAAAATTTTAGGCAAAAAATGCGTTACTCAATAAAAAACTTTAGTTACTCAACAGGCTCGCCACTTGCGAAAGGTGATAATAAGACAGCGATCAGAAATCGCCAACTATCGATTCTCATACTTTTTATAGTGGCGTCCACTTTCAACTGCAGAAACTGACTATTGATTATGCCGCACTTTATCGATCTCTTCTTTTCTGCACTATACGATAACCATCCGATTGTTAGACCCTATTATTATCGAATCTTAGTGCATTGGATACTTGTGCTCTTCATCAAGTACAGTATCGATTTCCATACTAGATAATTGCTCCCTCTATTAACCACGTGGGACGTCTTACCTTTGAGCTCGGACAGACGGACAGGTATACACAGCATTTCGTTGGACTACTGTGGATTAATCTATTCTTTTTCTTTTCTTTGTCTAACTTTTTTCATATGTAAATAAATCTTTTCTTGCTATTAATGAGCGTAGTTTTACGAAAAAACGATTCTGCTAAATTGTTTTGGGCATATTTTTGTGAACTTCAGCAATGAGTTGCTTTATAATGATTAGCCGTGTGCATAACCTCATAAGCTGTTCATGTACTGTAAAGTTCCAAAGTGAATTTATCTTCTTGAAAAACGCTTTCACTCTCAGCAAATTGATTCAAAACGTTTAGATGTAAAATTTTCTATTGACTTACGTTAGATTAATTCAATAAACTTTCTTTTTATAATATGGAAATTGAAAATTGGTCTAAAATTCATGACTGTAGAATCATGAATGATAAGAATTATCCAGTTCGAGTCCAAGATCCATCAAAAGTTGGTAATGTTTATTTTATCTTGCACAATCAAAATAAGAAGAGCTTAGCAATCAGACATCAATCAGTTGTTGTTAACGTAGCCGGAAATAGTTCAATTACAAATATCATTGGTTTTGGAATGCATTTGATTGCTGAATCAGATACTAGAGAAACACATTATAGTCATGGAATGTTATCGATTGATGTTAACCAAGATCATATCGAACATATTGGAAAACTCCAAAATCTTTTATACCCAGGACGTCCTCATTATTGGATAATATATTATCTTCCAATGTGAAGTAGTTTTATTTTGATGAACGTATATTATGTTGTTTAAATTCTTTTTGAGTGTGTAGTAATCTAAAATGACTAGATTTTGATTAGCTTTAATGAATAAATATCACCATCAAATGTTATTACACTCAACTGAAAATAACGTATAATTAAAACACATTGGTGTATTATGAGATGTATGGCTAGATCTCGATAAGTTGTAATGAATAGAAATTATGGTTGTTCACAACTGTAGTATTTAGAATTCGAAATATTTTTTAGATAACCATGAATACAATAATAATAAGAAGAATTTCGTCTGAATTTATTTCGGTGACATGAGCTTGAAGTACAGTGGTCAGCTTGATTAATTGTAAAGTCAAAACCATACCATAAGTTATGTATGCCCTGCCCTGCCCTGCCCTGTACGGTTCGCTCCTGTCTCAAGAATGAGTCATAAAAGAAATTTCTTCCAACCCTGCCCAGTGAGGCACGGCAGGGCAGGACGCGCTGTCCTGCAGGACAAATACCAGATGTTTGCCTTTGTCTCGACAAAGTTAGAAAACACACACTTTTCTTTATTTCAAATCACAACGACTTAATTTTATCCTTCGTTAAGAAACAAACTGTTTTTTCGTAACAAAACGAAGGTAGAGAGAGAAACAAGCAGGAGCCTGCTTCTCGGAAAAACTCAAGTTTTGCTTAAGTGGAAAATTATTTATACTTTGTAACTTCTTTATTTTACTACCTTTTGTAACCAAATCCATGATAACTAGACTAAAAAACTTTAGGAGGATTTTCTTCAAAAAGTTCCATAAAAATAATCTAGGTGTCACTTCGATACTACTTCATTTTCCCCTTAAAAATCCACTTAAGTGGGATATTTAAGTTTTTTTGAGAAACAAGCTCGACGAAAGCACAAACAGAAAGTTAAGCTTCGGTTGCTCAACAAAAAAAAGAAAGTATGTACAAAAGCCATTGCTGGTATCTTTATTTATGCTAAAGTTAGAAATAAAAAGACGCCTTTAAGAAACATATCGGCCCAAATCCTTTTAGTCTTTTTACTAGGACACTATTCCCTATGTATCGTCAAATGATGGCTGAAATCGAAGGTGGACACCTGGAGTGATTTTCTCGTTAGTAGACCGGCAACATTAAATATACAGGAAAATTACTAGCTTAGTGACGGATTTAGGCGAGAGCGTAGGTGCGATGGATATCGTCTTGTTTGGTTAAAGTCGTTATTTCTGCTGTCTCGAAAGTCTTTAGAAGGAAAAAAGTAAATTCAAACTATCTCTGAAGACTTTAAAAAATTTCGCTCCCCATTAAAGATCATTTATTAATTTCATACAATTAATTTGCAGGTTTCATGCCATAGGTTTCATGCCACGTTGTATAAATCAAAAACATATGTTTGAACAATACCAGTTTGTTTTAGTGAACGCAATTGTCTGCGTAATAATTGTTGATAAGATGGTGCTTGAAAATTCGACCTAATTCGCTCTTTAAAGGTGAAGTCCGTATAAGAACGGTAATCAGCCCACTAACAATAGCCCCTACAATCGGTCCCAACCTCATCAGAATCATATCCGATTATCATATTCGATGATTTCTACCGTTTCGAACCCTTTCAGTCGAATATACCCGACAGAAACTACTTGAAACCAAGCAACAGTTTAGCACCAACAGTATGACTGTTCAAAAAATTGCTACGCTCTAAGTCGAGTACACGATTTACTGTCCGTTGATTAATTTCGATTTTAACTAGTTCTTTTCTATAGAAAAGTATTATTTTTGCTATAGAGGATTTACTTTCCGTTGATTACATAGAAATATATCCCAGTTAGCCACTTCTTGTACAGGGATTTAGTTTCCACTGATTATTTGGACGAAAAGTAATGAATGAGAAAATGAGTATTCATTCCGACGACCGATGTATTATGAGAAAAAAATGTATTATTGGTATTTATTAGTATGTTTATTAGTAAAAATGAAAAAAGATGGTTTTTTAACTTTTTGATGGACGTTGAAAATATCTCATACAGGCAGCTTTCAAGAACGCTGAAATGTCAATACGACCGTCATCATAACGCTGCCATAATTCCATTAGACATGCACCTGTTATAACTTTGACGACGCAAAAACGGGTGAACCAGTACAACCAAGTGACCCATCGTATAACAAAAATAACTCATCTTTTGTTGTTTTGCAATAAACGTCGGGTAATGGAAGTTGTTCAATCGATTGAGGAATTAGCGTGCAAGTCTTACGACGTTATTTTTGTAAGGTATTTTTCATTATATCAATCGACGGTAAGTTAATAATCAAATCGTTGGATTGAGACTGACGATTAGCAGAGTGGTATGCTTCTTCGACTATACGATCTATTGAGCCAGATTCTTCAATAACTTTTTGTTTTGAAGTTTTTCTAATCTGTCATATTTTTATATCAGTTCCGTCAGGTAAATGTGTATGATCGTCACGCACTACACTGTAATTTGGAATTATTTTCCACTTTATAGAAAATCGATCTGGAAAATCGCCAAGGATTTTCCAACTTTTATAAAATCCTCAGCGATTTTCTGACTGTTTAGAAAATGTTGATTTTCTGCTTTATAGAAAATCGAGTCGATTTTCTATAAATTGACTTTTCTCATTTGCCAGAAAATCGATAAGGAATTTCTAAAAAGTTGGAAAATCGACAGCGATTTTCTAACTTTTAGAAAATCGATTGATTTTCTATAAATAATTTCCA